GATGGCGATTTGCGGCCTTAGACTACACCAGGTGGTCTTGGGACTCTCCTGTGCGCAGCTTGGGAAGTCACGCCGAGGCATCGAGACTTCTTCTGCTCTCAATGTGTTATGCAGAAGTTCACGTTGCTTTCAAAGCCAGACACAAAGATCGGGATGTGAGTAACTGGAGCACCTAAAGCAAACATGCAACATTGATATTGCACTTGCCACCCACGCAGAGAGCGAGACAGAGAGAGAGAGAGAGAGAGAGAGAGAGACAGCGAATCCGAGCGGCGAGCGGGGACTGCCGGTTCTCCATGCCCCAGAGCACAGCGAAGCAAAGCGACAGAGAGAAATCAAGATCAAGAGAGAATGGCAGAGATGCGCATGTGCTTCCACATACGTATACAAAAGGTTTTCTAGCACGCAAAAAGCCTTTTGCTTCGGGCATGTGCCGCGGTCGCTCGCAGTCTTTGTGACATCTGTTTGTGTGAGTGAGATGGTGAAGATGCGAGGCATACGTATTTCGTGATAATACGAAGACGGGGACGGCAGGAGATCGCTAGGAGTTTGGGTTGTGCGCAGCGTCCCAACAAGCAGCATGTTGAAAGGCTGTATTGGTCCACTTATAAGCGGTTGCGAGCCTTACACCACGCGGCTCCAAGCAGGTGCCACGCAACCGTCAAAGCTGCCCCGTGAGCAGCGGCCGTGGCACCTCTCCGATGCGAGGCATCTGCGCTTTTCCACAGCGCGCTTGCTGCTAGCGCCTCAGCTCTGCTTGGTTCCCATTTCTGGACTTGGCCGCAAGGCAGCTTCGGAATCGCAAAACCGCTCGTTGCAGTCCTCCGAACCGTGAGAGCTGTAGCGGTCCCAGCCTAGTACCATGATGGATCAAGCATCGTATGTGCTTCTGTTTGGATCGAAACCTGCCCGCATCAGAGGCAAAACTACGAAGATATGCCTGGTCCGTATAGAGGGTGATGATGATGAATCTTCAGCTCCCCGAAACAATCCTTCCGTTTCGGCCTGTGAATGCATTTGCGAATCGATAGGTGGTTCGTGCCCCATTCTCAGGGCCTGCTTACTCTTTGGATGAGCTGATCTTCAAGAAATTCTCAGACTTCATCAGTCGTGGTGTTGTGAGCTTATGGTGGCCAGTTTGAGGGCAGTGCTGCCAGTCATCAAGTCCGGTTTCAAAATGGTGGCCAGTTTGTGGATTGACTGCTTACATGCAATTAGCATCCGCTCAGTCATGTGTTTACAGGCGGAATTACTTAGAGGCATGCTCAACTTGTCATGCAAGTCTCTGTATTGTGAACGACCAATCGTTAGCCTCAAGCCCTTCATGCAACGACACCAAAGGAATTGGCAGAATTATCTTCCGGAGATCGGTTGCTGGACCTTTGCGGCGGAAACTTGACCGCATAAGGAGAGTGTGGGGCCTGATGCTGATGCTGGAAGTGATGTCAAATCTGAGGAATGATTTAGCTCTGGCTTGAGTGTTTCTCGGTTGGGGTGCCCGATCTTCATGGTTCAGGGTGCGGCTTTGCATGTTTCGAGGGGGAGGTGCCTTTAGACTCAACCCAATCGGATGCTGGGCCTTTGCTTACGAGACACCTCAGAAGGACAGATCGAAGGAGCGCTTCAGATCCTATCCCAGCCTTCTTGGACCTCTGAGCGCATCCTTCGAACATGAACCTCTACATTGCGACGGTCTTCTTCGGACTAGATTGGATCATGAAACCTGCGCGTGTTTTGCATGCTGTCTGGTGCTCAATGATTCAAGGCATGGGTACCATTGCGCTAGAGGCCGCTTGCTGCTTTCCTGACCTTCGGGCCGTGTCTGCTGACGCTCCTTGGGCTTCACCGTCCAGGCAGCTTGAAAGTACCGCACTCCTGTATAGGATTCTCGGCAGTCTTCACATGGCACCCAGTCGAGACCCTCCAGTTTTGTGAGCTTCTTGCAAGCTTATAGTGGCAGTTGTAGCCTGACCCCGACAGGCCCCTATATGCGGTTTTGAATTTATGGGTCGTCTTTGTTCTGTAGACAGCCGCCCGCATGCCCAAGGTGAGCCAGAGGGCCTGCCAGCGTGCCGAGGCCAATGTGGCTGCAGCTCGCTCCCTGGGCGTCCTGGGGCCTGGCTCAACAGTCGAAGTCTTAGTGAAGTTCCTTGGGAGAATTAGACAAACGGGGCGTGGTGAGGCTTTGTTGGTACGTAGACCGCTTGGGTGTTTTTCTTCAGCTTTGCCTGGTGTAGCAGCTTCGGCAAGTGTATATGACGCACTTTAACAAGTGCTTGCCCGTCGCCGTCGTTGCCGGTCCTGTTTGCTGCTAGGATCGTGTGCAGTGCTTTGGAGATTGCTTGTTTGAGTAGCTTCGGGAGACGCCGCTCTTCAGGATGTCAGATGCGAATAAATATACAAGAGATCTAAGTCGATTCTAATTCGACTCACTGGATTCAGCGTGACTTTGTGCAAGGGGGGTGTCCGGCTGGACGCGGTCATTGCAAGAGTTCGACGTGGTGGTCTCAGAGCTTCCCTTCGGCGTAAGCATCTCGATACTGGACTCTAATGTGCTCCGCGGCTCGCATTTGGGCAACTGGCGCACGTCGAAAGCTCTAGTGCTTTTTTGAGACACACGGGGGTCAAGGTTTCGTTTGAGCCCTATATGCTCACATGCCCTATCACCTGCATGTGCACGTGCTTTCACTGACATGAAGAACCCACACCCCACCCGAACTCGAAGTGCACAGGCTTCTTACTGCGCTCCAGCGGGTGGTCCGCCCGGGTGGTCGTGTGGTGCTCATCGCCCCGCGCTCCGAATCGCCAAGCTGCAAAGCTCAAGACAAGCAGCCAGTTTTCTACTTTGTACGGAACTTCACCCACTCCTAATTCGAGAGATTGATTTAGGCGTTGGGCATTGGGATCAGATTCGCAAATGCTTGGCCATGTTATGTTACACATGTCTGCCCGATCCTTCCCAGTTTGGGGATGAAGGTCACAGCTACATCTGTACAATCAGCAGGCAGACCTTGCATGGCTTAACTAGGAAGACGGGTTCGACCATCGCAGATATACATACATCACTTGAGCTCCGGGTTGCAGCGCGTTGCAGCGCAGATCGTCCCAGCTTCGATTGCACATGCTCTTGTACCATCGGGCCAGGAATCGAAAAGCACACGCTCAGCGACACATGGTGCGAGTACCGACGATGCGATGGAAACGTGGGTGGCACTTCTGTGCACATCCTCTACTTTCGGCGCGCTGACGGTGCATTATCTGGAAAAAACGACCGAAGCTGCATCGCGCGCTTCCAACACACATTCAGCACTGCAGCCACAATTAATCACGGAGAACTGCGGGGCTGGCGGAGGAACCTGTAGCATGCTAGGAAGATCCAAGCATCCGATCCAGAAGCAAAAAACCTTCAGGATGTAGCTGGCCCAGATAATCTCACTGTTTTCGTCGTCCCACCTGGTCAGTCCGGCTCTCCTGGTTTTGCTGTCCTGCTCTTCTCTTTACTTTTCACTTGCCTCTTACACTTGCTACTTGTGTTTGGTGCCTTGGGGCGAAGATGGATCCAAGATCAAACAGATGACGAGACAACTGTTGTGCACGTGGCTCTGCCGTGCAGCCTGCCAGATGGAAGCAAAAGTGACAAGTCATGCTTGCAACAGCAATGAAGTGGCCATTTCGCAGTCCTTCGGGCGCTTTGGGTACCTAGCTGAGTCAACCTGTATGATACTGATAGCTGCTCAAAGCAGGTTTGTTGAACGCAGTTCTCCTCCTCACGAGTGGCACAGACACTTCCAGTAGACCTCCAAGTCCTAAGTGGAAGAAGCACTCGTTTGCTGAAAGTCGAACTGTTCAGAGCTGATGGCACTCGCCCCTGAGCCAGCAGCAGTGGCCGCTTGGCATGCTGTCGGGTTGTCTTGGATCAGCACGGTAGGTTCGCACGGTGGGAATGCCGTGCTGCCAGAGTTGGTCTTGGTGCCAGGATGTAGTTGCTACACCATCTTTTGAGTTACTTTCCGACTCCTGGTGGATCTACTGGCAACGGACACAGGAAACACTACCCTGGATTGAAACACTGGGAATCGGACAGAGAATGCTTGTAATGCTTGTAACGGACTGACAAAGAATCCCAAGCTTGGGGTGTGTGAGTTTGGGAGCCACTGGCTTTCTGCCATAAACGCATTTGAATCGTTAGCAGCTGCTTGCGGAGTTCTGTGTCTGCCGACTTGTACACCCTCAGCCTGGCAGAAGCCAATGGACGAGACTTCACACTGGTTTTCGGGACTTCCGAAGCGATTGGCTTCGCGTGCCCAGGAGCGGATCCTTGGGGGTTTGCACGCCGGGACCTCAGATTCTGGGTTCGCTACGATGTGCAAGCTCCCTACACGATTGCAATGCTTGCACCACACATCACCACACCAAGCTTCAGCTTCTCCGGCTGAAGGCTCTGATGACGCACGCACGCACACACACACACACAGACCGCCAATGCTTTTCCCTGGTTAAACTTGCTGCTTCAGCAACGGTCTTCCGCTGCAAGCTAATTTTCCCACCCGTTGTTTTGCAATTTGCAACGGCAGAAAGCCAGGAGTGGAGAGACGTGCAGGGTGTGATCCGCACCATCTTTCAGGCACCGAATCTGGCAGCTGGGTTATGCTTTATGAGAGAGAGGTGGTGAGCCAGGGTCGGTCTAGGACTTGGCATTTTCGGATCTAAAGGAATCTAAAGGTGTGTCTGTGTGCAGAGGACGAACTTGAAAGGGTTTTTGCGGTCCATCGTAAGAGCCGGAGGTATCGTGTAATCTTAGTCATCGCCAGCGAGCCCAGCACCAGTCATGCCAGTCGAGACTTCGTTTGCTGCAACCTGTGATTAAGGCTCTCACGAGTCAGTACTCCAAGTAAGTTTAGGCCACGGGGGTCATAGGGCGCGTGCAGTATCGACAGGAGCTTCATGACAAACTGCGACAAAAACTGCGCTTGTGTGCCAGGCTCTGTGCGACGTGGCACATGCACAAAGCAATGCAGTGCGCGAAGCGTGGCCCCTACCGGACTTTGCGCATTCTTGGAGTGTTGGGCGGGATCTCAGGGACTAGTATGATTACTGAACCGATGCTTGGCGGACCTCGGCGTGGAGCCAGCGTTTCAGAGCTTGACGAGTTTCAATTGTTTTCAGAAGCCAACAACATCTAGCAATCATGGCATGCCACTGTTTACTGCTTGATATGGGTTCTTCGCTGCACACTGGGCTCAGGATATCTTCAGAGCATGTTTACGCAAACAAAGCAGCCATGAATATGTTGCTCCTGATTTGGCGAACCCAGGCAGCACATTCATTGCACACATCATTGATCGCCATGCTGGTACTTGCAGGTCAGCAACGGATCATCGGCATCAAGCTAGATTTGAAATTCTTCTTGCATCTATGCATCGTCATCAGATTTTTTCCAGAAATATTCTGGAGCAAATTATGCCGATGATGCGTGCCTGGCTGATTTGTGGACACTTTGCAAACAAGTATTCGCAAATTATGGATCTGCACAATTTGTTCCATGCAGGGTTGTTCGATTGTTGTTCAAAAACCTTGCAACTTTCAATGACCGTGCTTTTGAGGTATTCGGAAGCGCCTCACAACATTTGCATACTTTGCTTTTAGATTTGTGTTTGCGAAGTTTCCAAAAGCCAAGCCAGCGACGCATCATCAGCATCGTTTGCTCCAGGCGGTTGCTGCAAAGTTTCCAGACACCAAGCCGGCCCTGCAGCAGCTGCATCATGTGGTTCAAAGTGTTCAGTCCAGGCAATGCATCACAGGTCTCCTTAGCTCCAAAGTTGTGATGGAGGGAATGCATCAGTTGCTCCAGGGCCTGTCTTGAACAAAATCAATGCAATCAACCACCGCCAGCCATGCACCATCAGCATCAGTACGGCAAGATGTTTTGGTCGAAGTTTGCACAGAATCGGTCAGCCGCATGTCGTGAGCATCAATTGGCTTCAAAGTGTTTCTGAAAAGCATGTTAGACAAAACGATGCACACATCAGCATCCGACGACCCGGCAAGCCTCGTGTCGTAAGCTTCAATTGCTCCCAGATATTTCTGTAAAGTTCACCCAGACCATGCCTGGCGCGCATCAATTGTTTGACGAGGACAGCCAAGCATCATTTGCTCCAAGGCCTTCTCGACGAGTTATCATTGACCAAGACAGCCGAGCATCATGAGCATCATTTGCTCTAGTGTCTTCCTGGGAAACTTTGAATAACCAGGCCAGCCACGCATTATGAGCATCATTTGCTCTAGTGTTTTCCTGGCAAACCAGGCCAGCCACGCATCATGAGCATCATTTGCTCTATTTCCTGGGAAACTTTGAATAACCAGGCCAGCCACGCATCATGAGCATCATTTGCTCTAGTGTTTTCCTGGGAAACTTTGAATAACCAGGCCAGCCACGCATCATGAGCATCATTTGCTCTAGTGTTTTGCTGGGAAACTTTGAATAACCAGGCCAGCCACGCATCATGAGCATCATTTGCTCTAGTGTTTTCCTGGGAAACTTTGAATAACCAGGCCAGCCACGCATCATGGGCATCATTTGCTCATGTGCTTTCCTGGGAAACTTTGAATAACCAGGCCAGCCACGCATCGTGCGCATCATTTGCTCTATTTCCTGGGAAACTTTGAATAACCAGGCCAGCCACGCATCATGAGCATCATTTGCTCTAGTGTTTTCCTGGGAAACTTTGAATCACCAGGCCAGCCACGCATCATGAGCATCATTTGCTCTAGTGTTTTGCTGGGAAACTTTGAATAACCAGGCCAGCCACGCATCATGAGCATCATTTGCTCTAGTGTTTTCCTGGGAAACTTTGAATAACCAGGCCAGCCACGCATCATGAGCATCATTTGCTCTATTTCCTGGGAAACTTTGAATAACCAGGCCAGCCACGCATCATCAGCATCATTTGCTCTAGTGTTCTCCTGGGAAACTTTGAATAACCAGGCCAGCCACGCATCATGAGCATCATTTGCTCTAGTGTTTTCCTGGGAAACTTTGAATAACCAGGCCAGCCACGCATCATGGGCATCATTTGCTCATGTGCTTTCCTGGGAAACTTTGAATAACCAGGCCAGCCACGCATCGTGCGCATCATTTGCTCTATTTCCTGGGAAACTTTGAATAACCAGGCCAGCCACGCATCATGAGCATCATTTGCTCTAGTGTTTTCCTGGGAAACTTTGAATAACCAGGCCAGCCACGCATCATGAGCATCATTTGCTCTAGTGTTTTCCTGGGAAACTTTGAATCACCAGGCCAGCCACGCATCATGAGCATCATTTGCTCTAGTGTTTTGCTGGGAAACTTTGAATAACCAGGCCAGCCACGCATCATGAGCATCATTTGCTCTAGTGTTTTCCTGGGAAACTTTGAATAACCAGGCCAGCCACGCATCATCAGCATCATTTGCTCTAGTGTTTTCCTGGGAAACTTTGAATAACCAGGCCAGCCACGCATCGTCAGCATCATTTGCTCCAGGGTTTTGCTGCAATGATTCCAACGGCCATGTCAGTGGCGCATCATCTGCATCATTTGCTCCAAGGCTTGGCTGAATAGTTTGTATTGACCAGGGCAGCCAAGCATCATCAACATCATCTGCTTTGGGGCTTTGCTGCAATGATTCCAAAGGCCATGTCAGCGGCATTTGCTCCAAGGCTTGGCTGAATATTTTTTATTGACCAAGATAGCCGCGCATCATCAGCATAATTTGCTCTCGGGCTATGCTGGCTATGCTGCAATGATTCCAAAGGCCATGTCAGCGGCGCATCATCTGCATCATTTGCTTTGGGGCTTTGCTGCAATGATTCCACAGACCATGTCAGCCGCGCATCATCAGCATCATTTGCTGCACGGTTTTGCTGCAATGATTGCAAAGGCCATGTCAGCGGCGCATCATCTGCATCATTTGCTCCAAGGCTTGGCTGAATAGTTTGTATTGACCAGGGCAGCCAAGCATCATCAGCATCATTTGCTTTAGGGCTTTGCTGCAATGATTCCAAAGGCCATGTCAGCGGCATTTGCTCCAAGGCTTGGCTGAATATTTTTTATTGACCAAGACAGCCGCGCATCATCAGCATCATTTGCTTTCGGGCTATGCTGCAATGCTTCCAAAGGCCATGTCAGTGGCGCATCATCTGCATCATTTGCTCCACGGCTTTGCTGGCAATGATTGAAAAGGCCATTTCAGCGGCGCATCATCTGCATCAGTTGCTCCAAGGCTTGGCTGAATAGTTTGATTGACCAGGGCAGCCGCGCATCATCAGCATCAATTGCTTTGGGGCTTTGCCGCAATGATTCCAAAGGCCATGTCAAGCGGCGCATCATCTGCATCATTTGCTCCAAGGCTTGGCTGAATAGTTTGTATTGACCAGGGCAGCCAAGCATCATAAGCATCATTTGCTTTGGGGCTTTGCTGCAATGGTTTCAAAGGCCATGTCAGCGGCGCATCATCTGCATCATTTGCTCCAAGGCTTGGCTGAGTAGTTTTTATTGACCAAGACAGCCGCGCATCATCAGCATCATTTGCTTTCGGGCTATGCTGGCTATGCTGCAATGATTCCAAAGGCCATGTCAGCGGCGCATCATCTGCATCATTTGCTCCAAGGCTTGGCTGAATAGTTTGTATTGACCAGGGCAGCGACGCATCATCAGCATCATTTGCTTTGGGGCTTGGCTGCAATGATCCCAAAAGACCATCTCAGCGACGCATCATCTGCATCATTTGCTCCAAGGCTTGGCTGAATAGTTTGATTGACCAGGGCAGCCAAGCATCATCAGCATCATTTGCTTTGGGGCTTTGCTGCAATGATTGCAAACGGCCATCTCAGCGGTGCATCATCTGCATCTTTTGCTCCAAGGCTTGGCTGAATAGTTTGTATTGACCAGTGACCAGGGCAGCCAAGCATCATCAGCATCATTTGCTTTGGGGCTTTGCTGCAATGATTCCAAAGGCCATGTCAGCGGCGCATCATCTGCATCATTTGCTCCAAGGCCTGCCTGAATAGTTCGTATTGACCAGGGCAGCCAAGCATCATTTGCTTTAGGGCTTTGCTGCAATGATTTCAAAGGCCATGTCAGCGGCGCATCATCTGCATCATTTGCTCCAAGGCTTGGCTGAATAGTTTGTAATGACCAAGACAGCCGAGCATCATCAGCATCATTTGCTTTCGGTCTATGCTGGCTATGCTGCAATGATTCCAAAGGCCATGTCAGCGGCGCATCATCTGCATCATTTGCTCCAAGGCTTGGCTGAATAGTTTGTATTGACCAGGGCAGCCAAGCATCATCAGTATCATTTGCTTTGGGGCTTTGCTGCAATGATTTCACAGACCATAAAAGCCGCGCATCATCAGCATCATTTGCTGCACGGTTTTGCTGCAATGATTGCAAAGGCCATGTCAGCGGCGCATCATCTGCATCATTTGCTCTTAAGGCTTGGCTGAATAGTTTGATTGACCAGGTCAGCCAAGCATCATCAGCATCATTTGCTTTGGGGCTTTGCTGCAATGATTCAAAGGCCATGTCAGCGGCGCATCATCTGCATCATTTGCTCTAAGGCTTGGCTGAATAGTTTGTATTGACCAGGGCAGCCACACATCATCAGCATCATTTGCTCTACGGTTTTGCTGCAATGATTGCAAAGGCCATGTCAGCGGCGCATCATCTGCATCATTTGCTCTAAGGCTTGGCTGAATAGTTTGTATTGACCAGGGCAGCCACACATCATCAGCATCATTTGCTCTACGGTTTTGCTGCAATGATTGCAAAGGCCATGTCAGCGGCGCATCATCTGCATCATTTGCTCTAAGGCTTGGCTGAATAGTTTGTATTGACCAGGGCAGCCAAACATCATAAGCATCATTTGCTTTCGGGCTAAGCTGCAATGATTTCAAAGGCCATGTCAGCGGCGCATCATCTTGCTCCATCCAAGGCTTGGCTGAATAGTTTGATTGACCAGGGCAGCCGCGCATCATCAGCATCAATGGCTTTGGGGCTTTGCTGCAATGATTCCAAAGGCCATGTCAAGCGGCGCATCATCTGCATCATTTGCTCCAAGGCTTGGCTGAATAGTTTATATTGACCAGGGCAGCCAAGCATCATCAGCATCATTTGCTTTGGGGCTTTGCTGCAATGATTCCACAGACCATGTCAGCCGCGCATCATGAGCATCATTTGCTGCACGGTTTTGCTGCAATGATTGCAAAGGCCATGTCAGCGGCGCATCATTTGCATCATTTGCTCTAAGGCTTGGCTGAATAGTTTGATTGACCAGGTCAGCCAAGCATCATCAGCATCATTTGCTTTGGGGCTTTGCTGCAATGATTCCTAACGGCCATCTCAGCGGCGGATTATCTGCATCATTTGCTCCAAGGCTTGGCTGAATAGTTTGTATTGACCATGGCAGCCAAGCATCATCAGCATCATCTGCTTTGGGGCTTTGCTGCAATGATTCCAAAGGCCATCTCAGCGGCCCATCATCTGCATAATTTGCTCCAAGGCTTGGCTGAATAGTTTGTATTGACCAGGGCGGCCAAGCATCATCAGCATCATTGGCTTTGGGGCTTTGCTGCAATGATTCCACAGACCATGTCAGCCGCAAATCATCAGCATCATTTGCTCCACGGATATGCTGCAATGATTGCAAAGGCCATGTCAGCGGCGCATCATCAGCATCATTTGCTCTAAGGCTTGGCTGAATAGTTTGATTGACCACGGCAGCCAAGCATCATGAGCATCATTTGCTTTAGGGCTTTGCTGCAATGATTCCAAAGACCATGTCAGCGGCGCATCATCTGCGTCATTTGCTCCATGGTGTTGCTGCAATGATTTTACAGACCGTGTCAGCCGCGCATCATCAGCATCATTTGCTCTGGGGCCTTGCTGCAATGATTCCAGAGACCATGTCAGCCGCGCATCATCGACATCATTTGCTCTACGGTTTTGCTGCAATGATTGCAAAGGCCATGTCAGCGGCGCATCATCAGCATCATTTGCTTTAAGGCTTGGCTGAATAGTTTGTATTGACCAGGGCAGCCAAGCAGCACCACCATCATTTGCTTTGGGGCTTTGCCGCAATGATTCCAAAGACCATGTCAGCCGCGCATCATCAGCATCATTTGCTCCAGAGTGTTGCTGCAATGACTCTACAGACCATGTTAGCCGCGCATGATCAGCATTATTTGCTCCAAGGCTTGGCTGAATAGTTTGTATTGCCCAGGGCAGCCAAGCATCATCAGCATTATTTGCTTTGGGGCTTTGCTGCAATGATTTCAGAGACCATGTCAGCCGCGCATCATCAGCATCATTTGCTCCAAGGTTTGGCTGAATAGTTCGTATTGACCAGGACAACCAAGCATCATCAGCCTCATTTTCTCCAGGATTTTGCTGCAATGATTCCACAGACCACGTCAGCCGCGCATCTTCAGCATCATTTGCTCCAAGGCGTGGCTGAATAGTTTTTACGGACCAGGACAGCCACGCATCATCAGCATCATTTGCTCCCAGGCTTCATTGACCAGGACAGCACGCATGAAGAGCCAGGGTTCTCTTTTGGAAAGCTTCCAACGTCATCATCATCATCATCCTCAGTCGCTCAAGGTATTGCTGGAATGGTTTCAAGAAACAGGCAGGCCACGCATCAGCATCATTTTGTTGCTCCAAAGTTAGTCTTGCAACGGCCAGCCCCGTGTCTTCAGCATATCTTGCTCCAAGGTCTTTCTGATTTTTTAGTATGGGCCCAGTGACGTCATCAGCACTAGTTGCTCCAAGCTTTTCTGGAAAGCCTCTACAGACCGGGTCATCAGTTGCTACCTTTTTCGAATGCTTCAAGCCGCGCATCATCAGCATCATTCAGCCAAAGCTTGTCGATTGCCTGCAAAAATTGCACATGGCCGCGCAAAGCAGAGTCCGCTCGACCGAAGGTTTCTCTGTCTTAGTACATGAGAATGGAAACAAACGTTTGCTGTCGAAGCCGCAAAGAGAACCAAGCAAGCTAATGGTTTTTGTGGTTGACTTTCCGATATTCCCGTTCTTTGTGACAACTTCGCTATTGATCCTCCTTTGGTGCCTTGGTACAGGTAACTCATGTTTGTGGAATGTTTCAGAGAGTTGATTATAGCGTACGGTTCAATTCTTCTTGAGCAAGACTCCTAACCGACGTAGCCCCAACCACATAAAAGGCCCTGAAAACCTTGAACCCTTGACCGAAGCAGAGATAGTGCAAAGCAGCGCACGGCAAAGATGGGCATTGACATGAGTGCTGCAAGCTTGAAGGTTGAGCGAAGAACGGGCGAGATGCAAGAGGAGTTGATTGCCGGCCTGGGCCGGAAGGCATGTAATGCTAGATTGCTACTCTCTGCTGCTACAGATATTTAGCAGCATGAACACGGTCACTTCGAAAGCCGTCATCGTGGTCGGTCGTGGCCACAAAGTGTCGCATGGTGGTATTGTGTTTTGGCGGCGGTGGAAGTTGCTTTCCCTTGTCCTGGCCCTCGCCTCAGACATCTTGGATGTCTTCCTAAACGCCCGGACCCTTTGAACCCCAAAGAACCCTCGCACAAGTCAAAGAACCTGTGGAAAAAGGCTATCAACCCTGAAGCACAAGACCTCGTAAACTTTTCAAGAGCAGAAGCCTGTGCCATCCAGAGGCAGACTTGTCGGATCTACGCGACACTCAGGCCTCCCAGGCCGAAGAGGCCCGATTTTCCAGTGATCATCTTCTCCCTCGGTGCCAGCTTTGGTCTTCAATTGTCCTTCTCGTAGGCAGGGTATGTTCGATTTGGTTTCGGAGGGTTGCTTAAAGGACACCAGAGAGTTTTGTGCCAATTCTGTGTGCCTCACAAGCACCTTACCGCACAGATGCTTGCAAAATCTGTGCATGTCATCCGTTACAGTGATGGGGTGAGAAAGGTTTGGTCGGAACCGTGATGACCCCTGCAGAACTCCAGATTCTAGCTTGATCTTTACTAGGTCTGCACGGTGGTTGCACTCGCCCTCTGCCATCTGTGCTTCAGACGCAATGCCTCGCCGAAACGCAGCGGCATGCAAACGAGGAGGTCCAGGCATCAACGAAAGACTCCGGAAGACATGGTTTCAGAATTAGGTTATGGCTTGTGAGGAGTCCTTCAGATGGCAGTGTGAATTCGTTGAGTGGAGAGAGTCGTGTAGAGAAAGGATACGAGGTAGGGTAAGGTCAACCCTCGGAAGTTCATTGCCGAGTTTGAGTCCATCTTCGAGTTCATCTACTTTGTTCCTGATCCTTGTGGCTCTGCCGGGGCCAACTTTGTTGGAAATGATGGTAGCTTCGACTTTGCCATAGCGAGAAGTACGAATGAACGTGATGTTTGCAATAAAACATGAAGCATCGAAGGCTGTGCATGTAGAAAGCAACAGCCGGAAGTCAGAGCATACATACTGTAGGCATGCCAAGGGCAGTAGATCGTAGTTGGTGTTTGTAGTAGTAGTAGTAGCAGCAGCAGCAGCAGCAGTAGTAGTAGTAGTAGTAGTGGTAGTGGTAGCAATACTAGCAGTAGTAGCATCAGCAGCAGGAGGAGCAGTAGTAGTCGTAGTAGTCGTTGCCGTAGTAGTAGTAGTAGTAGTAGTAGTAGTAGTAGTAGTAGTAGTAGTGGTAGTGGTAGTGGTAGTAGTAGTAGTAGTAGGAGTAGGAGTACTAGTACTAGTACTAGTGGTAGCAGCAGCAGCAGCAGCAGCAGGAGGAGGAGGAGGAGTAGTAGTAGTAGTACTGGTACTGGTACTGGTATTAGTGGTAGCAGCAGCAGCAGCAGCAGGAGTAGTAGTAGTAGTTGTAGTAGTAGTAGTAGTAGTAGTAGTAGTAGTAGTAGTGGTACTGGTACTGGTACTGGTACTGGTACTGGTACTGGTACTGGTACTGGTACTGGTACTGGTACTGGTACTGGTACTGGTACTGGTACTGGTACTGGTACTGGTACTGGTACTGGTACTAGTACTAGTACTAGTACTAGTACTAGTAGTCGTCGTCGTCGTAGTCGCAGTCGCAGCAGTTGATTCTTTATTGCTGTTGATTGTGATCGCGGTTGCTGTCGCTGTTGCTGTTGTGGTTGTGGTTGTTTTCGTGGTTTTGGTTGTTGTTGTTCTTGTTGTTGTCTTCGTCGTTGTTGTTGTTGGTGGTGGTGGTGTTGTTGTTTGCTGCTTGTTGTTGTTGTTGTTGTTGTTGTGGTTGTGGTTGTGGTTGTGGTTGCAGTGGTTGTGGTTGTGGCGGTTGTGGTTGTGGTTGTGGTTGTGGTTGTGGTTGGTGGTTGGTTGTTGGTTGTTGGTGGTTATGGTTGTGGTTTTTGGTGGTGTGGGTGCCGGTGCCGCTGCCGGTACCGGTGTTGTTGCGTTGGTTCTGGCGGTTGTGGTGGTTGTGCTTGCGCTTGTGGTGCTTGTGGTGCTGGTGCTTGTGGTTGGTTGGTTGGTTGGTTGGTTGGTTGTTGCTGTTGGTGGCGTTTCTGTCGGAGTCGGACGGGGAGGGAGTGGCCTTCCGCGTGTCCGCACCCGCCGACGTAGTTTTTGCTGTACAAGAACTGGTTGGAAGATCAGAAGCATTTACATAGCCGCCTCAAGACAAGGTGAGCCCCAACCCTTCTACAATAGTCACGTACGTAGAATAAGTAGAGGCCTGTGAGCTAGAGCCACGAGTTATGGCAAGCCATGTGGGAGCCGCCCAACCTGAAGTTTACCAGAGGCCCTTCGTGCTGCTATAGTGGATCTCCGTGCAGCCATCGAGAAGCCAAGAACTTGGCATGCCAGGGACATCTTAGCATTATGCAGGCGCAATGCGGTCACTGCATCCAAGAGGGCGTGTCAATTCCAAGCGGAGGAGCGCCAGCACCAGCTTTCCACAAGCCCCTCCATAGCACGACAGATCTTATAGTCTCGGAACCAGCCCTCCACCTTCATGCTCAGACCTTCAGAGCTTGCCTAAGGCAGCGTGCGGACGTACAGCAGTGGCGAGCTGGATTTGAGGCTGGATTTCCAAAGTGTTTTACGGTTTCATCCTGATGTTCTACCCAAAGTCCTACGGCCGGGTCGAAGCTACACATGAGTCTGATGGCTTAGGAACTTAGCACATGTGACTGGGCAGGGGCGTTCGGTTGTCAGTCACTTGCTCCTGGCACCCGGCACAATCGCCAATATGTATTCTATTGGCACACCACATGAAGACGAGCAGACAAGCAAACAGCTTCAGCCCAACGGCCCTTGTCAGCCTCGACCCACGGACTGAAACTCCTGACTCCGGGGATCTGGTCCCCATCACCCCCTTCTGTCTTGGAGTTTATCTAGGACCACCGGAGCCATGAGCTTCAAACCCTACACCCACCACTTGTCCGAGTTGTGAGAGTAAGCACAATGCCGTCGCATAGCGCACCCGATCCGTGAAAGAATAGTTTGAATAAATGTTAAGCAGACACCAACAGTCTCAAACCCGAAATCCCGAATCTTCAAGACTCGAGTCCTGTTTTCATTTGCCCAACGGGTTCGTCGCGAGCCTCAAACTAATGTCGGCCAAAGCCCTGAAAATGCAAATCCTCGGCACGTTTCTCCGAACCCAAGTTTGCGATTCCTAAACAACAATCACTCGAACCGCGCGACCCAATAGAGGATCAGGTAACTTGGTAAGCAAACACTAGTCCTGCAAGTGTTCTAATTAGAACCTTTACACCCTCGAAGTGAAGAAACTGATAAACTCTAGCTAAACTTTCAAGAAGCAGGCGGGCCTCGCTCATGAGGTCCGCTGGCGATGCATGGGGAGGGTTTGTGGATATTTGGGAGTTTCTGGTAAGCGTTGTGGGTTTGGGGAAGGATTGTTGTGCTTCTGAGCTCGCCACTCCTTTCGGTCTTGTTCAGAGAGATAGCTTGAAAAGTGTTTTCGAGTCGGGTTGAATGTTCGACAGGGAGACTGCAGGCTTGACAGCATTTCTCTGTAAATGTGTGCTGCAGTGGTTTGCCAGCCATACTTACAGTCACTATGACTCTGGTGAGCGAAACCGTGCTTTCGGTCTGCAGTACTGAGCCTTGCATGTAGTTTCCGAGAGGCTGCAGCAACCATTATTTCTGCTCGCATGTCCAGCCAGAGAAGTCACAGCTCAAGATGCCAACAGCAGATGCACATGAGCAACCTCGAGAAATTCTACTGGACCTGGCAGCCACCCAAAGACTCATGCTGACGATGTTTGTTTGCCCATCTACATCTAGGTTGGAACAGCTTATGCGGCAGTCCAAAGGTGCAGGCCATCCAACAGGAGATGAAGGAGCCGCATGTCGCATGTCATGGCTGAGGGTGCAAGTTTACAGGTAGAATGTGGCTTGGAAAGTTGCGAAGGATGCTCACAAGCTGAGTCAGCAGTCGTCCATTTGGCTGTACAAACTGGTGAAAACGTTTTGCTTGTCCCTCAGTTCACCAAAAATCTTAGAGGCTTGACACATAGCTTTGATTGGGCTCCACTGTCAGATCTTCGGACAGAACATTTGTTTAGGTTTTGAGGGTGGGTTGAATATTCTGGACGAGTCCGCACATCTCTCGTAGCTCCCAAATATCATTTACCAAAGAGAGTCGCTATGCTTGTTCGGAATGGTTCAGACAGGAAGGGTTTGTTGAATCAGGACTGCGAAGCCTGGGTTGAAGGACATGCCTTGCACATGAAAGCACCGCCGGTCGATGGAGGTTAAGCTCATGCCTCCTGTGTCCTATACAGTGTATCATGCGGTGTATTCTGGCTCTTGAGGCCCGGGGACTGTTTGGCCAGACAACACGCAGGAGCTGGCCGCATCCGCGGAGGTGCTCCCAGCCTGTCATGGTCGTGGAGGGGGAGCTGGAATCGCCCAGTAGTCTTGAAGCCATGGAGTAGTCATCGGGATGGAATCAGATAGAATGCTCTGAATCCGACGTCCTCCAAGGTTCGGACTTGCTCTTGAATTTCTTCAGACATTCAGAGACTCCGAGAGCTGTATGGAGTAAGCTAGAGATTTCAGCTGGGCTGTCGCTGGTGCTGGTGAAAGTTTGTGTGCAGTTCAGAATGCCGATAGCTTGAGCTGAAGGCCATGATGCAATCATAGCTTGCTCGCAGCTTCAGTGTCAGGCGGGACACCAGGTCTGACTGACTCGAAGAATACGAACTGCCAGCCTCGTATGGAGCCAGCACACACGCATGAGATTCATCCCATGAGATCCACAACACCGTTGAAGCTTGCGTAGCTTACCATCCATACTCGTGTCCAACCTGGACCAAGGCAATTCACGACCCTGGCAGGTCCCGACAGTCGTAAGTTCGTATTGTACAACATATAGTCATTGCCTGACGAACGTTCCGGCCATGCAACCGGCATACGCTGCGTAGCGGCCCGGCCTTTGCCGCAATCTGACCCCATGCCGGTTCCATCGACCACAGCCAAGGCTGTGCTTCGACAGCACGCATGCCCTTGCACTGCTCCTTTGCTTTTGCCTGACACGGCTCACCACGCTAGACGGTACTACAAGTAGTAGCACAGAGGCTGCCGACCAGCTGCAGTGTTCAGTTTTTTTCAGTTTTCGGATTGTGTCAAAAGCCATCACGTCGACAGCTTGCCATAGTAACCTACTAAGACAGTCGATTTGATTCCGAAGCTTGGATGCCAGGGGTCGTTTGAGCAGAACATGTGCCTCGACAGTTAAGAGGGCTCAGATCAGATAAATTGGGGAGGGCCCGAACCCTTGCATTGCCAAGAGAAGCCAAGGACAAGTTCCGCAATTTGCAGTTGCGGAGCATGCTCGATGAGCCGGAGGCGAAACTGCACGACACCTGGGAAGCTTGGATTAATGAAGTATTGAACATTAGTGTTTGCGTGTTGTTGCTGTTGTGGTGTGTCGCTATTTTGCAATTTGCGTTGCTTCGTAATGCCGCCCTCGCTTCATAGACACTCTAAAGACTCTCTGATTGATCGGCACCTCAGGCATGCAGGCTTCATCCCTACTTGTAAATTGCAGTGAACTTGTGAGGCTAAGATGCTGGACAGTGGGCTTTGCCAAGGCTTCGCTGACGTCGTGGCCTTGGACGAGCACGCATTAGGTCTCGTTGTGATAAGTGTGTCAGCCTTGATTTTATGAATTGTATGTTTGCATTCTTTGTTACACTGTTTCCTCTTGCAAACTTCGACACGTTGGGGCGAGGTTGGAATCCAACTGTCCTTGCCGTCCAGTGCCGAAGCAGAGGAGCTCTTGCTGCAACTCGGATTGAGCGCCTCCCATAAACTTTCAAAACCCGTAGTTGTTTACCGTCAAGCTTCAGGCACGGTGTCGAGCGTCTGGCAGAAGCCTTGCCGGCTGGAAAGAGTGGTGCCGCCTTCGCTGCTTTCTACAAGAGCTACTGGTCACAGTTGTTCGCTTGTGGCTAGGATTCAGGCTTTGTCTCGGAGTTGTGTTTCAGAAGTGCTCTGGCGTCTCCTCCTGTGCAGTTGGCACGATGCCACTGCCGTTCCAAGGCTTTGGGTGGGAAAACCCAAGCGAGTACTTCGCAGCGATGGGTGAGCACCAGGCGGGATGCCCGAGGAGTGGACATTTTGTCACCGCCTCTTCGACTCCGGTAGCGAGGTGATGCTCGTGGATGTTGACCACAACGACTCGGACGATCGACTGGCCGTCATGCTGCTCGCGTGCCAGGCCTTCGTGGGCCAGGGCTCGGGGATTGACCTCGGAGCGTATTTGCCTTTGCACTTGTGGCACCTGATGAGATGTTATTGCATTCCCTGGCCGATGACTCACCAGAAATAGCAACATGCGATCGTAATCGTCATATTTTGACAGCACTAAGTGCATGTAAAGCCGACCCGCTGTCGGTCGCGGGTGTCGAGACTGAGTCGCTCTATCCGTATGTGTACGCAGGATGTAGACGTGCAGGGCGTGTGCGGGTGTGTCTGTGTGTGTGTGTGTGTCTTTTGGACCCCATTGGGTGGAAGCCACGGCGCTGGGACTCTACGGTTTGGAAATTGCTTTAAGGCTGTAGTTTAGGAGTCTCGGGCCCCCATGGTCCTCAGGTCGCTAGTGCCAACGCGGAGAGGCGGATCTCCGTGCCTAGCGCCGCATGCAAAGTCTACTTGGACTGCAGGCCTGGCATTTCGCTTGCCACCCATATACACACATACATGTCAACATATGTATGTACATATAATTGTGTGTGTATGTATGTGTATGTGCCCGTGTACGTGCATGTGTATGATTGTGTATGTGTGTTTGTGTCTGCGTGTGTATGTGTGTATATGTATACATGCGTGCAGATATGTGTATATATATATATGTAGAGGTATTCTTAAATGTATTGAAACGAACTTGTCTGTGTATGTATACGTATTCGTGTATGTATATGTGCTTGTATCAGTGTATACATGTATGTATATATATATATGTATGCAGAGGTATATGTATGTGTATATGTATGTGTGCTTATACATTTGTATATCACTAGATCTGTATCTATATATATATATATAAATATATACATATATATATGTATATATATATATATGTACTAATACATTTTCTCTTAAAAAAATAAATAAAAAAAATATATATATATAGTGGGAGCCAAAAAAAGTATACAGATATATTGTTCTGCATGTATATAGGTACTTCAGAGGAGTTATTAGCAGTGATAGCTGCTCTGTGAGTCGTATTGCTGCCATGGTGTTCTGAAGCACGGGATCTGAGCAGAGCCTCTGCAGGACGTACGAGCATTCCGGCCTGACGTTCCTTCGGATCATTACGGCAAGAGTTTCAGGCACAGTGTTTGTGATTTCTGCTCGCTTGCAGTAAGGATTGAAGAGCTAACTCCCAACAGTGGACAACTATGTTGGAACCGACAAAGCTGAGTGTGGATATATCGGCGCGCAAGGCGCTCCACATTCTTTTTTCGATCAAACGTGCAGTGGCTTGTGTTGATGCACAAGTCCCATTATGCGCGACGAACCTAGTCTTCTGCAACTAATTCGGCAGCCCAGGTTGTGGCGAACGGTGCAACTGGCAGCCCGGATTGGAGCCGTGACAGTTCAGCATGGAGTCGAAGTCGTGTCATCAGGCTCAATTGATGTTCTCCTTGCAGCTCGTTCTTGCATCGCTGAGCTCCGCATAGACCCTGAAGCCTGTAATTTAGAGTCACAGCCTTGCTACTAGACACATGAAGTTCTGCAGGATGTTTCTCGTGGCGTTGTGTTACCCGGCGAAAAGAAACTTAGGTGGCGGTAGTTTCGGCCGAGCTTGCATTCACTTGTGGTCTCTTACATGGACAGGGCATTTGGATTTCTCTCATCGGTCGGCAAGTATGACAAAGAGCATGCATGCCTCAACTGTACCCTGAAGTGCCGATGTCACGCAGTCCATAGTCTTCCGCCGAAAGAAACGCACGCAATTCCTGTGGAGATACCAAGATCACCGAACATGTCAAGCAGATCCTGAATTAGGGAGTGTGTGCTGCCAAAAGCGCTGTTGACCCGCAATTTGCTGACCCCCCTCCGAAGCCAAACATCTCGCTGCTACAGTCAACCTGAGCCAATCAGAAGACCACCCCAAACTATGCAACAAGATAAACGAAGTGCAGTGCAGACAGATGCAAGGCCGGTAGTCAGCGAACCTTCTTCTGCCCTCGAGCTGATCGCGGCATACCTGAAGGTGAATCACCTGGGCTTCGAAACGGGCCTTGAAGCCTAGACCCTAAAGTGGCTCACCGGGAGAGTCTGAGTGTGCGCACCGAAGCAGGCAACGGCTTGTCGGGCAAACATACATGGTGCCTATCACGTGGTTTGCTTGAATTGGGTGTGGAACTCCAGAATCGTGCAAGTTTGGCACGACAGACACCGGCACTGCATCTTAGAGACACCTAAATGACGCTCAGTTGTTTGAAGCCCCTTAGCATGTGCGTATGTATACACACATATACACATGCATGCATATATGCAAACCGCAAACGTGCGTGAATTGTTGTTGAGGTTTGGGGCATGTGCTGCATGGTTGATGAGTATGTTTGTGCATGCGGACCCAGGGATGCAGACACCTACGTAAGTTGTGTGCAAAATATGGATCCAGATTCTTTATCGATAAATCTATGTACATACACTTAGACCTAGACTATATCCAGATCTGTATCTGTGTCTATAGCTAGTCTTTATTTTTCCTGTACTTGTGTCTATATCTATACGTAAATACTCACTTGCCCATAGAGGTCGCAAGCGTCTTCGAATCACTGAACACTGCAGCTGCGGGCACTGGCGATGCACTCCGCTCGGCAGCACAGGCACACGCGCGGGGATTTGCCAAATCCGCTAAGAGCCTTTTTAGGATCCATTTCTGTTTGGTGTATGGCTACACATCTTCCACGGCAAATACGAACAACAGGACATGCATGCCTGCAAGTCTCAAGGCAAGCAAGCCCCACAGTCCGCCACACCTCCGGACATCCCAAATCTGTGAAGCCGTGCGTTGCAGGCCAAGGAGGAACCCCCTCCCGAAACGAATCAAACCCCCACACTATAGGGTTCAAGCAGTATTCGCGTAGCCCTGAAACCTAAGAACCCTTCCATGGAACCCGAAAACGCCTTCACAACGGAGCCCTTGCAGTACCCTTTATAGCGCCCTTACTCAATCACCCTGCTTCTGGCACCCGTAGGTCGTAGGTAACCCATGGTAACCCTTAAAAGCCCCGAGGATCTTCGCGGCTTGGAAGTTTCAGCAGGTCGCCCCGTGACTGTTTGGATCCTGAGTGGCTTGCTGCTGGGACTGCAAAATAAGTGGTTCAGGGTAGAAGAGGCTTGTGG